AAGTATGCATGGAGGCACATAGAAAAATGTAAAAGAATATGCAATTTGACTGTATAGTTTTACTCCTTTTTTTCTGATATTTAAAGTTTAATTTGTATATAATATTATAGCTATTGTTTTTTAATTTTGTGAATTAGAAGCTGCCTTATCTTTCTTAAATTTATATATTTTTAATATAAATTACAGTTTATTCACTTTGAATCCTAGCTGTAGCCCCCTCCCATGTCTCCTTCCAATCACGCCCTCCCTCACTCATCTTCTCCCATGCCCCTTTCCCAGTACACTAATAGGGGAGGTCCTCCTCCCTTCCCTCTGACCCTAGCCTATCAGGTCTCATCAGGACTGGCTGCATTGTCTTCCTCTTTGGCCTGGTAAGACTGCTCCCCCCTTAGTGGTTGGTGATCAAAGAGCCAGCCACTGAGTTCATGTCAGAGACAGTCCCTGTTGCCCTTACTAGGACACCCACTTGAAGACTGAGTTGCCATGGGCTACATCTGTGCAAGGGTTCTAGGTACCTCCCTGAATGGTCCTTGGTTAGAGTCTCAGAAAAGACACCTTTGCCCAGATTTTTGGTTCTGTTGCTCTCCTTGCGGAGCTATAGTCCCCTCCAGGTCTTTCTATCTCTCCCTTCCTTCATAAGACTCCATGCACACTGCGCAAAGTTTGGGTATAAGTCTCAGCATCTGCTTTGATACCCTGCTGGGTAGTCTTTCAGAGGCCCTCTGTGATAGGCTCCTGTGCTGTTCCCTCTTTTCTCCCTCTTCTGAGGCAAACAGGACGGATATCAGAAGGAGCTGCCTTATCTTAAACTTTGTGTTTTTAACTGTTCTCTTGTCTCCTGAAGATAAAATGTCATAGCATCTGCATCTGCTACATCTTCCTACTAATTTTTTTTGGTGTTGATTAATAGAGTGAATGTTGTGAATTTTCAAAATAGTAAGTAATTGTGTTTTAAGATGGCATTGCCATTTGAAATTTGAGAGCATGAACATGCCAGTGTTTCACAAGAAAGCATAATACTAACTCTAGCTTTGGGATAAAGTTTATTACGTTATCTCCATAAGAAATATTTCTTGTATTTTCTAATAAAGTGCACTGAAGTTACTTAGCATGTATTGTTATTACCAAGATTTTAAATTAATTCTCTTCTGATAAGTTAAAATAATTATACAAGCTAATATGGCATGTTAATTACTGTTTATCCCACTGCCTTACTTGATTCTCACATAGAAGAACTTATTAACAAAAATGCAATAAAAAGTAATATAAACTGTGATGGTTAATGCTATCTAACAACTTAACAAAATGCAAAATCATCAGGAGATGATCAGGGCCTCTGGGCCCCCTAAAAGAGGTTACATAAATGTCTATAAAGGATCATGTTGATTATATTAGTTTAAGTGGCCACATACATACATAAAGGATGCTGAGAAGCACCAAACATTCACTGCCCTCTGCTTCCTGACTGGAAATTTGATGTGAGCTCTTCAAGTTTCTACTGCCTTTATTTCTCTGCCATTGACATGTGAGCCAAAATAAACCTTCTCTCTCTTTTTAAAAATTTTTTTTATCAGGGTAATTTATCACAAAATAGGAAAAGAAACTGAGATGAAAATAAAAAATAATTAACAGCAGTAATAAACATAAGCAACCCATTATGGCTCTATACTCTTTATTCAGTTCAACTGAAACTTTGCAACACATTTATATTTGCATGCTTGGTTTTGCAGCCATCACAGGAAAACTGAAACTTAAAACATATAGAAATTAAGGAGAGTTGGTTTTTATGTCAGGAATCAACCATTTAAAGCATTGGGTAAATATTATCAAATTATATGCCATATGACAGTGGAATTGTACTTCTAAGAGGAAAGGGAGTACAATTATAATTCTGAATTCTTGGCTAAATATATGACCCAAAATGGAATCAATTAATGTAATTGTCAAAAAATGCTAGAGATACTATCCAGTTCCTCTGATTAATTGCAAATGCTATAATGGTTGCATTTCAATGTTTCCTACACTGAACCCCACACAAAACAAGGCACATCAAAGCCCAACGAACAAAACAAAATTGACTCTCTCACACATTCTGATTGAATTAGACAGAAGGACACATAGTTTTCAAACTGTCAGGAGCAGGTTCCTAGTCCAAAATGGACTTAAAGAGAATAGTAACTAAGTCAGAATAGCATGTGCTTTGGGGATGATTGCACAAGCTCAGAGGAAATGTCATTTGAGTAAGTGACTTACCACTAAGCCAGCGAGAGATGCCACAATAGAAATCTATCCTAGAGGACCTTGATCCTTGACCTTGGATCTCAAACATTCAAATTTGCGAGAAAACAGATTTTTACTGTTTGAGCCCCTCGGTAGTTTGACATAGTTTCCCAACACACTCATATGAAGACAGAAATGTGAAAGGAAAAAAGTAGTGTCAAATACATAAAGAAAGTATTATTGATGAAAAGAAAACATTTACTCAACACCTATGGGTTTGAAAATTTCCTAAGGATTATAAAACATGCTGAGGCTCGTGCTGTGGTTGAAAGGAGACAGGGATGTGGGATTGCTATGTACACTAGAGGATTGTTAGATACACTAACAAGTATGTGCTACTGACAGAATAAATAAGAACAATAAACTCCTTACTAGAAAGCTAGGATACACACCTGACAGCTCATCCATCAATCCAACATGAATCAGACCAGGAGAGTTGATAATAACAGGAGAAAGCAAAAGCTGGGTTCTTAGATAGGCCTCATTGTTTTGACTTTTACCTTTAAGGCTAACGTCAGAAATCAACTTCTTCATACCATATCTCATTCCAATTGTTTCATTTTCAGATAAAAACATCTTTGAACATTGTCTTATTAACCTAGTCTATAAAGCTGATGTTTCTTTACTCCAAAGAATCTGACTTCTTCAAGACTATCAGTGAGTCTCTGTTGCCAGTTCATGCTCATATTACCTGTCAGTATAATGGATTAAGGTTTCATGTTTTCCAGGAAATTTCCTTTGTGGTTTATTGTCCTTGTCCACTTAGCCTTCTTCTCAGCCTCTGATAAACTTTCACTCTTCTCTAAAAAGAAAATATTAGGAGGATCAAGTTTCAACTTTAGAAACTACTTAGTTAAGTTAACCTTGCTGATGATCTTGTACAATGTCTATATGGTGAACATAGCTAAATAGATGCTGCAAACCTAAATACCTTAACTGAGCAGAATGAAAACTCTGCATTCTGACTTGATAAATGTATTTTAGTTCATGTAGATTCTGTAGGAAAATCGAAACAACTTAATGTTGGGTAACAAAGATAACAACACTCACCATAATTTACTGTCTAGTCTACATTGTCTTTTGTGTTTTGTTTTGTTTTCATTATAGAGGAGGAGATAGAGGTTGAAAGGTGACCACTCATACATAAAGCTTATCAAAATTAAATGTTCGATTTTCCAATCCTGGATGGTGCTGTGCCTCAACATTAGTACTCATCCTTTTATATGATCTTTGTGAATGAGCAGCTTCACCTCAGTGACTAGTTCAGAAAAGCACAATATATTTCTACTAGTTTCGATGTACGAAATGAAATCCCACTACCCAAAGCTTAACAGGTATTCACATTTAACACTACGTAGCTTAATGTGGAAGCGCTTTGAAACAACTTCTTATTAATTATAATATAGTCTGAGCTCAGTACATGCTAAATGTTGAGTAAATAAAAAGTTTTGTTTCAGTGAATTTAAAGAAAATGAAGATTTAGGTCTCAAATAAGTGTATGGTTATAAATAAGTATGTATAGATGTTTTCTGTTGTAAATAGTAAAGAAATATTAGTCTTAGTATTACATATTCAAGGAATAATGTTCTATAGAATGCTGTTAGATAAATGATAGTTTGTAGAAGAGCTTTGGTGATAGGCCTTTACAGTTTTGTTCTGTTTCTTTTCTAGTTAATTAATTCAGTTTACATCTAGGTCCCTTCCTCCATTCCTCCTAGTCCTATGTTCAAGCCTGCCTCCTCTCTTCCCTGTGTTTTCAACAGTCTTAAGCTGAACTGTTTGTTTAAGAACCCTCCTGCACTGAAATTCAGGTTGATTTCTACATGTCTTAGGATGTTTTGAATAGTTTTTTTTTTTTTTTTACAGAAACATTTTTACTTTTATTTCTGGTCTTGAATCTGAGCGAAATTTTTTTTTTTTTTTTGCTTCAAAGGAATAACAGCTTTATTGAATAAGAACTTTTTTAAAAGGGCTTTACAACAATAGAATGGGCCAAATATCCTTGTAAATTACATTAATGAGATCGATGCTACTCTTTTTTTTTTTTTTTTCTTTTTAGTTACATTTTGTTAACTCTGTGTCCCAGCTGTATCCCGCTCCCTCATTCCCTCCCCAACCCCACACTCCCTCCCTGGTCTCCTCCCTGCCCCTTTCCAAGTCCACTGATAGGGGAGGACCTCCTCCCCTTTCATCTGACCCTGTTTTATCAGGTATCTTCAGGGCTGGCTGCAAAGTCCTCCTCTGTGGCCTAACAGACTGCTCCTCCCCTGGGGGGGGGGGGTCAAACAGCCTGCCCTTGAGATCCTGTTAGAAATAGTCTGTGTTCCCCTTACTTTGGAATAGTTTTTGTCCAGAACTCAAATTGCCAATTCAAATATGTAAAGAAAGGAAAACTAGAAGACTAATGCAAATCAACATGTATTTATTTATATTTCAGCATCTGAGATTCCAGGTTTTCCTTCATTTCAGTGGCCCTAAATCCTAGGCTACTCCAGGACACACAGAATCTGGATGTAATTCAGTGGGACCGTGTCAGAAAACAATACTTTCAAAATATAGCTGAAATCACTTACATTGAAAAATCCTGCTGTTCTTCTGTTTGTTATTGTATTGAGAGTTTTACAAGGATGTTATGAATTTTTTAAAGAGTGTTCAAACTGAGCACATTAAAACAAATATTCTTCGGTGCCTATGGAAGTCAGGATATTCTCTTATGGACAATGAACATTGTCATAGAGATCATATATGCAGCTACTATTATTGTGGAATTCATAATTGGGAGTGTTGCAAATGGATTCATAGCACTGGTGAACATTATAGCCTGGGTCAAAAGAAGAAAGGTCTCTTCAGTGGATCAGATCCTCACTGCGTTGGCCGTCTCCAGGATAGATCTGCTGTGGTCTACACTCATAATTACACTAATATCTTCATTGTATCCAGATTTAGAAATGACCGTGGGAATTGTAAGACTAAACAATAACACCTGGGTTGTTGCAAATCATTTCAGCATCTGGCTTGCTACATGTCTCAGCATCTTTTATTTTCTCAAGATAGCCAATTTTTCTAACTGTATTTTTCTCTACCTAAAGTGGCGATTTAAAAAAGTGTTTTCAGGGACATTGCTGGTATCTCTGCTCTTCTTGTTTGTAAACATTTTAGTGATAAACAGACATATTGATACCTGGAGTGATGAATCCAAAGGAAATCTCTCTTGCAGTCCCAGATCGAAGGATTACACACAATTTCATAGACTTATTTTGTTAATCAACACAATGTTCACATTCATCCCTTTTACAGTGTCCCTGGTGGCTTTTCTCCTGCTCATCTTCTCCCTGTGGAGACACCTGAAGAATATACGGTACAGTACCAAAGGCTCCAGAGACCCTAGCACCGTGGCCCACATAAATGCTTTGCAAATGGTGGTTGCCTTTCTCCTATTCTACACAGTTTTCTTTCTGTCTCTTGCCACGCAAGTTTCGACTTTTGAGTTTAGAGAGAAACACAATTTGATTTTTGCCACTCTTATTAGTAGTTTTACGTTGGTCCACTCGGTTGTCCTGGTTCTGAAAAACAGTAAGCTGAGGCAGGCCCTTCTTTTTGTTCTGTGGTGGCTAAGGTGCAGGTTGATAGAGGTACAGTGATAAAATTTGTTAGTATTTTTTAATAATGAAGAAGAAAATTGCTTAGTTAAAAAATTCTTATTCATTAACAATGTGTACATTCAAGTTTATCTGTCCTATGTTAATTTGTTTTTCAGTTATGTTTAGGATCACTTCTATCTAAATACCTTAGAACTTTACCTGTATATTTACACATATATATTACTGGCATTTTACAAAGAATCATATAATTTGGCCTACCTTAATGTAATAGAATTTTATATTAGCTGACATAATTTTAGTATCATTCAGAATCTTTTTTGAGATTTTGAAGAGGTTATTCTACACAATATAAAACATAGATGAATATGCATTTATGTGAGATACAGTAAAAATGATACTGTTAAAATTGAGTCTGATAGGCTAGGATCAGAAGGAAGGAGAGGAGGACCTCCCCTATTAGTAGACTTGGGGAGGGGCATACGTGAAGAAGGGGGAGAGAAGGTGGAACTAGAAGGGGAGAAGGGAGGGGCTTATGGGGGGGATCCAAAGTGAATAAAGTGAAAAAAATCTAATAAAAATGTATACTCATATAAATAAATTCAGATATGGAAAATAGGCATTATTTGTGTTAGAAATGAGAATTACACATAGACATTCAAATAAAATATTATTAAAATTATCTCAGAAATGTGGTTATATTTTCCTCCAATTAGTCCATGAATATTATTAGTTTGTAGTTTGTAGAACACCTGGATAATGGTTAACACTATTCAAAATATATAATTCACATTTTAAAATATATTGCACATGTCTCTGTAGTTCTCTGTTATAAAGTACATTCCATTTTAATTTTATTGCTCATAATAAGTTCATTAAAATGAAAGTTTGTTTATTGAACATCACCAAGAGATGACATTATTTTGTCTTTCTTTATTACATTAGGTACCAGTATTTTACTTTAGTCAGCATCCAGGCTGTCATACAAAGAAAAGTTAATCACATAAATTTAATAAATTAACAGGAGGGCAAAAGCTGGTAATAGGAGCCTTTTAAGCACTGAGGCCAATGAAAAGGCATAATACACTTTCATAAAAGCAGCATGAGTATCAAGCTAGTAACCAACCACTTTCTGATTGATTTTAAAGTATGATCTGAATGATGGAATTCAAGCCTGTTAATGTTAACTGAATTAAATATAAACTTTTATATTAATAATTCCTATGGAAACATGGCTATTAAACAGATTATATCTTATTATAACATGTTTAAAACACATTACTTAACAATTGAAATTGTAATTATATTATAGCTTCAAAATCATAGGTAAAAATAAAGTAAAATGTGTGTGTCAAATTAAGTAATTGAAGTTAAACTAATGACAGAACTACTTGATGAAGAAAATTATGTGGCAGAAAAAAATGTTTGATAGTGATTTGTCCTGTAAGAAGAATGTTTATAATCTTATGCAATAACTGAATTTCCAAGTGACTATGTTAGCTGTTGGAATTATGAGAAATTTAGCATGCTTTTTCTAAACACTAACATTTAGTATCTGTGTATCTGATTTATATTTTGTCTGGCTGTTATCTGTTTGCTTCTGCATCATGTTGACTTCTAGTCCTTTGAGTTTGACATACAGAGTGTGTGATGGGTAATAGCTTCATAAATATATGAGTGAACAAATGGTTAGATCAACTACATTAAGAATGAAAATGATGAAAAAAGATGGAGTCTTTCAGAGGCCCTCTGTGGTAGGCTCCTGTCCTGTTCCCTGTTTTATCCCTCTTCATCCTGCCCTATTTCACTCCTACCAGTCCTCTTTCTTACACAGATGTGGCTCAGGAAAATGACTCTCTTTTGTCTTTAATGATACCAAAGTTTTGTGACTCTGTTAAATTGTTTTCTATAAAATATTTCTCAGTTTACCTTACTTTACGTTCCAGATATGAAGAATTTCAAGGCATTTGGATTCACATTCTTTCCCCACTATTGCTTTTAGAATCTGAGATATGTCAACAGTACATACCAGCGTCTTTTTCTGCTATCACTGAGGAATATGGTTAAATGCATTCTTCTTGGTTGCATAGATTTTTTTTGTTTGTTTATTTGTTTTTAGAAACAGGGTTTCTCTGTGTAGCCTTGGCCGTTCTGGACTAGCTTTGTAGACCAGGCTGGCTTTGAACTCACAGAGACCCACCTGCCTCTGCCTCCCTCAGTGTTGGGATTACAGGCGTGTGCCACTGCACCCAGTGCAAATTGTGTTTTCTTGAGCTTGGTACATGCTGTTGTGGGTATAGAGCAGATCTGGGTAGGAGTTAAGCGAAAGTGGAAAACGTCTGACGGTCGTATGTGAGCAATACTATATCGTTAACATAAAAGCCATCCCTCTTCCTTTCTGCTTTTTTATTTGTATATTCCATTTTTATTTGATTGTTCAGATATGGTCTCCTACAGTCCAGAATGACCTTAAACTACCTACGTGGTCAAGGATGACTTTGAACTCTTGATACTCCCACCCCTACTTCCCAGGTGCTGGTATTATGAGCATGCGTTATCATGCCTAGCTTTGAAAGCATTTGAAAAAGAATGTTTTAAGTCTCATGATATTAAGGATGACCTAGATGTATGATAATTGTCGAATAAACAGAAGCCCTACACTACTGAACTGTAAAATTAAGGAAATTTAGATCTAAATAATCAAGTGTGTGTGAATGTGGGCATGGGTGTGAGCCATTATAAATGAAAATGCAGTATTATTTTCATCATCAAATCTTTAAAGACTATTGATGCACATGAAATTATTAGATTTGTAGGAGGTGCTTTGAACAATGTAAGCACATACGTCTCGCAGTTCTAATTTAAACTGTCTAGAACAATCCTAAGGATTAAAAAGTACTATAAAACCAAACACGTTTTCTTCTGCTTTCTATAGTTAGTAGGACGATTTTGTCCACATTTCAAATTGTCAGCATAAGATAGGCAGTGAAGGAAAAACTGCAGACAATGCAAATAAACACATCTTCATTTGTATGTTAGCCTGAGAATTCAATGTTTCTTCCTCTTCAGTCACACCTGTTGCTACTGTAGCACAGGGACCTGAAGGAATCACAGCTGGACTGTGGCAGAACAGCAAGGAATTTGGAAGACAGCTGGAAAGTCTTGATGCCTGCTTGTTTATTGCCTGAATGGAAGATTTTAAAAAGTGAGTATGTTATCAAATCTTAAAAGCCATATAAACATAGCATTGTAAATTAATTCACCAGCAAATATACTTCAGTGACTAGAGACATCAGTTCACTCTTACAGGCAATGAGAATCTTCATACACCTTATAATCATTTTCATTGTGGAATTTTTAATTGGGAATATTGTAAATGTATCTACAGTCCAGATGAACTGCATAGATTAGATCAGAATCCATATTTTTACAGGGGATCAAATCCTCAAAGCTTTGGCCATATGCAGAATTTGTGTGCTGTGGGGCAGTAATTGTTATTTTATTAATGTCTGTAGTGCATCCAGATTTAGTGATATCTCTAAAAGTGGTAACAGTGACTAATTTCACCATGGTAATTACTAACAAGTTCAGTACCTGGTTACCAGAATTTTTCAACTCTGTTTTCTCTACCTAAAAGGAGAATTAACAAGGCCATTTAAACGCTGATGGTGTCTCTGATCCACTAAATTTAAAATATTTTAATGATGAACACACATCTTATAATCCTGATTGGTGAATTCAGAATGAACTTGCCTTACAGCTCTAGACCAAAGACTGTTAGACAGAATTCCAAGCATCTTTTATAGTGAAATACTGTGCTGTGTCTCTGATAGGCATTTTTCTGTTTTCTCCTCCCCGTGGAAACATCTGAGAAAGGTGCACGGCTTTGTCGAGTGATGCAGCAACGTCGTTTTCTCAAATACAGTAAAATGTTTTACTCCAGTTGCTATGGGTGTTTCTAGTTTCATGAAGAAGAGTGGTGGACTCTGCCTGATACTACTCGGTTTGTGTAATTTACATTTGAAAATACAGTTTTCTTTGTAGTTTTCTGGCATAAGCCAGAGATTATTTTATTTTATTTTATTTTATTTCATTTTATTTTATTTTACTTCAAACCAATCGTTCACTGACCACAGCACTGAGAAGTGTGTGTTTATGTTTGGCTTTATGTCATTGGGTACTAACGTTTTGTATGGTTGTTAATGGAACAAAATCTGGAGAGACTTCTGCGTTAATTATGACAGCACACAGCTGATGTGATCTTTTTCTCTACAAACATGTTGCTAGCATTGATTTTGTGGTAGAAATAATAGGGCAATGCGGAATTACACAAAATATTGAAATTATTTCTTAAAATTTAATTAAGCTGAGGAATTGATACAAACAGAAATATGGTCGTTTGTGCTTCAGTGCTGTTAAATTTTCAGTGTGATGCACTCTTTTACATTTTTAATAGTGAAAAATATTTTTTTAGTTTTTCCTTCTTTTTTATTTTTATTAATTACACTTTACTCATTTTGTATTACCCCATAAGCCCCTCCCTCCTCCCCTCCCGATCCCACCCTCCCATCCCCTTCTTCATGCATGCCCCTCCCCAAGTCCACCGATAGGGGAGGTCCTCCTCTCCTTCCTTCTGATCTTAGTCTATCAGATCTCATCAGGAGTGGCTGCATTGTCATCTGCTGTGGCCTGGTAAGGCTGCTCCCCACTCAGGGGGAGGTGATCAAAGAGCAGGCCAATCAGATTATGTCAGAGGCAGTCCCTCTTCCCATTACTATGTAACCCACTTGGACACTAAACTGCCATGGGCTACGTCTGTGCAGGGGTTCTAGGTTATGCTCCAACTTGGTTGGAGCATGAGTCTCTGGGAAGTTCCCTGTGTTCAAATTTCTGGTTCTGTTGCTCTCCTTGTGGAGTTCCTGTCCTCTCCAGATCTTACTATTTCCCACTTCTTACATAAGAATCCATGCACATTGCCCAACAGTTGGCCATAAGTCTCAGCATCTGCTTCGATAGTCTGCAGGGCAGAGCCTTTCAGAGGC